AGGTTCAGCCCTTCCCCCATCCAGTCCCCCTCCCTCGCCCAAGATCCTCCCATTCCCCTCCTCCGCCCCATCCTCCCGCACCCATCCGCTCCAGCTCCATGTCCGCGGCCCAGGCTCCTGACAGCTGGGCCCTGCCCCGGAAGTGCTCCCGCCGCCGGCTCATCCCCTTCCACTAAGAGGCGGAAGTTGGGGAGACTAGAGGCGGAAGGAACACCACACAGAAGGGCCCGCGTGAAGGACGGACGTAACGTATATAGACTTCCTCCATCAATGGGCGGCCACAGGTAGGCCCCGCCCCCCGGGCTGCAGAGCCAACCCCCCCCTTTCCACCAATGGGCGCCGGTTGCTCGGCAGATTATGCAAATAAAGAGTTGGGCGGGGCTAGACCGCAGCCGCGCAGGTAGGGGAGGGTCCGGCGCAGCGGGGAGCGGCGCGGACGGGTTGCGGTAAGGGTCAAAAAGGGGCGGTGGTGGAGGGAGCTGAACGGGGATCCCCCTAATGCCCCCCGAGATGGGGGGCGGTCTGCAAAGCATCATGGGAGCGCGTTGGGAGGACACCCCTCCTTTAGGTTGAACATGAGCCCCGAGGCATCATGGGAGCAGCTCGGGGTTGGGCCCCTGGTGCATTCTGGGAGGGCCCAGAAGTTGGCACAGGCCCCAGGGCATTGTGGGAGCAGGTCATGGGGTGGCCCTAGGTGTGCTTGGTGGGCATGGCCCCAGGGCATCATGGGGTTGTTGGGGGGCTCCCCAGAGTCAGCGGGGCTGGCCTAGGCCCCAGGGCATCATGGGATTGACAGTGGGTTCCCAGAGCCCATGGGACTTGGCATAGGCCCCAGGGCATTGTGGGAGCAGGTCCTGGGGTGGCTCAGGCTCTGTGGGGTTGGCGTAGGCCCCAGGGCATCTTGGGATTAGCAGCAGCTCTCTGGAAACCATCAGAGATGGTGCAGCCCCAGGGCATTGTGGGATTGGCACTGGCATCTTGGAGACTGGCAGGGGATGGTGTAGGCCCCAGGGCATCATGGGATTGGTGATGGGCTACCCAGAGACCAGCAAGGGCTGGCATAGGCCCCAGGGCGTCGTGGGATTGGCAATTGGCCTCCTCGGCCCAGCAGGGGTTGGCGTTGGCCCAGTGCATTGTGGGAAGCGATAAGCAAGACTGCTCAGGCTCAGTGGGGCATAGCACAGACCCCAGGGCATCGTGAGGGTGGCGGTCAGTTCCTGGAGACCAGCAGGGTTGGCCTTGGCCCCATTGCATTATGGGAAGAGAGAGAGGGGCTGCCCAGTTTCTGTGGGGTGGCTGTGGACCCTAGTGCATTGTGGGACTGGTGGAGGCTGATGCAGCTTTGTGGGGTGGGCATAGAGCCCTGGGCATTGTGGGAGAAGTGGAGGCTACCCCTGCTCAGTGGGCTTAATGTTAGCCCCAGAGCACTGTGGGATAGGTAGAAGTCACTTCAGGTCCCTGGGATGGGCATAGGCCCCAGGGCATTGTGAGCCACCCCCCTCCCCAGGATTACCGGGAAGGGGCAGGGGGCTGTAACAGCGCATTGTGGGCCACTGTCCCGGCAGGCTGGCACCATGCTCACACTGCCGCCCGGGCTGAGCGAGGAGGAGGAGGCCCTGCAGAGGAAGTTCGCCAAGCTCAAGAAGAAGGTGAGTGGTACGGGGGGGCTCTGGGGGGCGGG